TCTTGTCTCCCACAAAGTAGTTACTGTCCTTTACAGTGGAATATATACCTAGCAAAAGGGCACCTTCTTTGCTGATGGGGAGGGGGTGTATCCTCAAGAAGAACTCGCCTTGACTCTAGCCATTGATGTTGTGTTTTCCTGACTAGATGTAGGCAGAAGAGACGTATTTATTTTTTTCAACACATTTGTGCAGTCTACTAAGTCAGTGCTCCCCATCCTGGGTGCCCTCCGGAGCTTTCAGCAATGACCCTGTTTGCTCAGAATTCTGGGGCTTGAAATCCACACATCTGGAAGGTGTCAGGTCAGAGAAAACTGCCTTTTATGCTTCTGCTAAAGCAGCGGTTCTCAACCTATGGGTCGCGGCCCCATTTGGGGTCGATCGACCATTTCACAGGGGTCGCCAAGCAAGGCTGTCCGCCATTTTTTCCCCCTTTTCTGGCGGGTGCCTTACCTCCCTTGAGCTGGGCCAGCTGGTGGTCGGCCTGCTCCGTCTCTGCCGCTTGCCAGCTACGCCTCGGCCGGCGCAGGGGGCGGAACCACGCATGCGCGGCGCTCCCAAGCAGGGAAAGTCCTCGACTTACGACTGGTTGGGTAGTCCTTGACTTACGACCGGTTTAGTCCTCGACTTACAACCGGTTGGGGGTCGCGGCATTAAAAAGGTTGAGAACCACTGTGCTAAAGCTCATCAACCAAACCAGGAACTAGTTCCATTTCTGCTTAACCTGGATATTCTTAAGTGCAATCTAAATCTACGGTTATTTAACACTGTCTCTGTTTACAGAAGAGTTCATTCTCACGTGGAACTTTTGGGCATAAAACTAGCTGCTATAGAACTGAGTCTTTTCGGCAGAATTTATCGCTCTTTACTGAGCTGAACTTTTTCACCTCTACGTGCATAAAGGGGTTTGGGATTTTATTTTTATTTTTTTTAAAGCTTGGGGGATGTTACTGTTCCCACTGCACATGGTAGCTCCTGACTTAATTAACTTATTATGCATCTGTTTGTATTTGTATGTGAGTGAGTGAAAAACAGGGCAATCAGGTACCTATCGAAGTGGTTTAGAAAGAGGAAAATGTGTGTGCTGCTGTGGTTTTAGATTTGAGCATTTGAGTTTAAACCTCTTATCCGTTATTAATATTAATAATATTGTAAGCCAGACTTAGTGTGTGTGCCAACACACCCTCTGTGTCTTGCAGTGATAGAATGAGAAGGGTGTGAAGAAGTCTGGATAGGCTAAGAGTAAAGGCTTTACTTATATTAAGACCAGGTTTTATTGCATAACAAAGCTGTGCTAAGGCAGTATGAAAAGGAAATCTGTTGATTACAGGTAGCTCTCAACTTAGGACCATTTAGTTAACAATGGTTCAAAGCCTTGCAGTTACTGTATGTGATTACAATTTGGGCGCTTGTCAACCTGCTCCTATTTATGACCTGTTGTAGCATCCTGCAATCACGTGATTGCAATTGTTACCCTTTTTTTGCCGATTTCTGACAAAAAGACAGCCATTGGGGAAGCTGGATTCATTTAACAACCATGGTGATTCACTTAACAACCACTGTAAAAATTGCCATCAAATTGGGTCCGACTTGACTTGTGATCGCAACAACTTATCGCAACCAATTCTTGTCCTAAGTTGAGGACTACCTCAAATGGATTGGTTCATTTATTCATCAATTTGATTTACATCCAGCCTTTGGTTCAGGAGATCAAGGTGGCTTACATAGCACAGCCTCTTCCCATTTTCCCCACACCAAGTCTGTAAGGTAAGCTAGCCTGAGATTTTGTGACTGGCCCAAAGGCACCCAGGGTACTTCCAAATAGAAGAAGGAAGCTTCAGGATTATATCCTAAAAATTTGGGGGGGAGGGGTTTGGATGCATATTTTTTATATCAGCTAAATCTATAGTACATTGCAAATAATGGAATGGCATCAGAATTCAATTAGTTATCTAAATGAATAGGGACCAAAAAATAACTTTATGTATGAACAAGGCACTCAATACATTTTGGGGGCTGATAGATTGTACAGAAAGTGGGCCTTTTGCTAATTCATCACTCACCCTGGGCCAACATTTTAAAAGCCTTATTGCATTATTCATGCTTGTGATTTAATGTCTGCTTCAGTTTGTTCCTTTCAAAGGCTGCAAACTTTCATATATTATTTCATTAGAACTTTCAGTGTTTATTGAATAAAGTGATATAGAAAAAAAGTTTACAACATTACGAAAAGGGTTACTTTTGGTCATTTATACCCCCCTCCCCAATATGCCAGATTTGGAAAATAGTAGATATAAAAACAGTTGGATCCTGCTATTTAAATCCATGTATGTCTGCATACAAACTATAGCCTGGTATACTATAATATGAGAATCTTTTATGACTCCAAAAATAAAGATTGTCTTTCACTAATGGGGGGGAGGACATTTTTGCCAATTATCCTGCAGTCCTTTTCACTCTTAAAAAAAAGTTGCACAAAACATTCTGCTTTCAATTCTACAGCATTTATTTACTAATAGTACTTTTTTATTGAATTAATAAAACTATGGGCCTAAATTGCAGTTGTAGGGAAAGGGCCGGTAGCTTGTGTCTTCACTAAATTAATTAATCTAGAATAAGCATCAAACTAGGAAATAACGTATTGATTCAAAGTCAGTAAATTTATTGCCTTGCAGTCAAATAGAATAACCAAAGAAAATGGTCAGCAGAAATAAGCAGATGACAGTCCCAGAGGTAGCAGAATAGCAGTGCCATCAAAATGACATTTTCCCACTTTTAATCTGAGGCATATCCTTGATGGTTACAGAAAGAAAAAGAGAAAAGGGGGGGGGGAATCTGATGATAAAATTCTTTGGATTAACTAAAAGAAAGTTATGGTTAAATCCTGAAGAAAGAAGTTTTGAAATGGCAAAGAAACTGCACTATAAAATCTGTGCTTTTCTGTCTTTGTTCTTCATATGAAATTTCATTAGCTGTTTCTTCATCAACTGCTTTAAAGTGATGTATTTGTATTACTGATAGAATCTCACTGGAGCAACATCCTTTGCCCAAAGGATGTTAAGTTTGCTTTTTGGGAATTCATTGTATGAATCCCTTCCCCCTAGTTATGAATGAAGGGGAGTTGGGATGTCTTAAGGAACTGCATGTGGCCCAGTATAGATGCATTGTTCCCTATATTAGATTCTAGAAAAATATTTGCCATCATTCAACAGGTTTGCATGTTTGCCTGACCAGAGTTAGCTACGGGAAAGATTATCAGTTTCTTTCTTCATCAATCTTGAATTAAACACAATCAGCATTGCAGGATTTCCTTTAAAGGCTCAGAATAGAAGGCCCTAGTTAGCATTAACCATAGCGAAACAGTGGAATCAGTGGTTTCATTTTGGTGTTGCCAACATAACAGCACTTTGCTTTCCTTGTCAGATAGCTCAGTTGTACACTCAACACTTACCAAAGCCTTTGTTGCCTCTTTCTCTAACTTTGCAACATGCAGTTTTCCTGGCAGTGCTAATAGAAAAGTTAAGTCCGTCTTGTATCTAAGCAACTAAATTACCTCAGAACAGTGGTAGGTATTCAGTGGAAACTTGTGTTGTCTTTCACTGGTGCTATGTTTGGAAAAGGCAGGAAATGGAAGTAATGTCTCCTCTTGTTTCTGATGTCTTGGACACCTCCCTGGAAGCGAGGTAAAAGCCCACCTTGCAGAAAGAAGTAAAGTTATTAAGAACACCATGAAGAATATTAGAGAAAAAAGTACCTTCTGCGGTGCAAGTGAGAACTTTTGGGGAGCTTACCAGCGTTGACCCGGCTAAGTGAAATTATTGTTGCCTAGACCTTGGTCAGCAATCTGTGCTTTCTTCATTTGCATCACAAAATGTTCCATGCTTTTGAACGCAGCATCTTTTTAAAAAAATCTATTTTTCCTGTTTTGTGTTTAATTTTAAAGAAATCTCAGGCTCGACTATAAATTTTCGATAGCTATAAAAAGGGTATTTGGCTACCTAGCTTCCAGTACATTGATCAGTAATGTCTGAATAAATCATTCAGTGTAACTATATTCAGATCTGCATCATCGTATATGCTGACTTTAACAATTGATATATAGATGTTTTGTTTTCTTCTGTTTGATGCAAACTGCCAGCAAGTCCCCATAGTATATGTAGCATTCAATTGTAAGAGTTGAACAAGTGGATCAGTGGTTGCAATTAATCTCTGAAACTGCAGTGCATTGCTAAATGCTGCTCAATGACTCCTATCACATCGTGTGTACAAAATAATGGCAAACAATTAGATCTCAGCCTGCTTATTTTGAACAAGCCAGTAAGAGTGACTTTATAAGCAAATCTGTTTTCCTGAACATGATTACTCAAGATATTCTGGTAGAAATCACGGGTAATATTTAAATTTTCAAAATGTTGTAATATTTAATTGCTTTAACCTCTGGGGAATATTATAGTGTGGTAACTGCTGTTCAGGGAGCAAAAAGTAATTTGTTCTTCAAGTCATGCTGACTTCATTAGCAACAGCCTTAGCACTTTGCCCTGCTTTATTGCATAAAATCTGATTGACTGCAGTATTATTCCAGTGGAGCAATATTACAAGTAAATATAAGTGCTTTAATGTATTAAATTCATGTAAAAATGCAACAAGGAATTTTTAAGATTATGATAGTTAGCCGTTTCTTATCATTTAAAGAAACAGAAAACCTTGAATATTTATGTGTATTTCAACTGATCATGATGGCTGATCAATCAATCACACATTGTGCTAGGCAGACAATTTTAACAAAAGCATTTGTCTTAGGGTTTCATCTTTCCATCAGTAACTTTTCTTGTTGAAAGTTAAGTGTATTCAGAGGGCTTCATGTTGACTTATTGGTCAAATTTATTTATATTTTAATGTAACGCATGTTTTTTAATTTCTGCATTATTGCCATGATATCGCTGTAGTAATTTTTAATTGAAAGCATGTTATTTCATAAATACCATTATCTTTTTTGTGACAGAAAGAACTATGCAACATGATACTTGATTGTTGTGCTCAGCAAAGAACATATGAAAAATTCTTCGGTTTACTAGCTGGGGTGAGTTGCCACTTTTCACATCTATATCCCTTGCCATTCCATACCCCTTGCTATGTCTTTCATAAAGAGGGATCATTTACAAAATGTTTTTCAATATCAATTGGGAACTTTTCATTAATGACTTGTAGTTGAAAAGATGAAGCAGATAATGGCATCTTGAATTGCACAGTTTATTAACATTACAAAATAGTATCAAATACGTTGAGAAAAACTAGCATCTTCCCAGATGTTTTTTTTTAATATGGAACTTTGAGGATGTGATTTCAGTAAAAAAAAAAAAAGATGTGACTTTTGCTTCTGTATATGTCACTTCCAAGGGGATTCCTATTTTTCAGTACGATTCCCACATTGTAGGCTTAGTAGCTACAATAACCATCAGAGCAATGCTGTATTTGTGGCAAGGTGATCTTTGACAGTGAGGTCAAAGGGGAGAAGTAAAGCTAAAAGTAATCCTTAAGAGCAGGGGTCTTCAAACTTGGTCCTTTTATGACTTGTGGACTTCCAACTCCCAGAATTCCTCAGCCAGACACACTGGCTGAGGAATTCTGGGAGTTGAAGTCCACAAGTCATAAAAGGGCCAAGTTTGAAGACTCCTGCTTAAGAGGGTCTGTGCCAGCCTATCTTAAGACAAGTGATTCCAGTGATGGTCTTTCCAGTGGTAATATATAACTGTGAAAGCTGAACACTGAGGTAGAGCGAGAAAAAGAACATAGATACCATCTTATGGTCTGTTTGAAGAGAGTGAAAAAAAATCAGTCCTAAACCAAATAATGATTGTTTCCTTGGGGTGACTGTCAGCAAGATGATACTCAGATATTTGGGGATGTGCACAGATGATGGCCTAGAAAAGTTCCTTTGCCTGGCAATGTTGCCTGGCAAAAGATGGCTGGATGGAACAAGATCACTGGAATGTCCTCTCCGCTCTCCAAAATTCTCCCGCTAACTATTAGTTAAATTGTCTTCTTTTTATGTTTAGTTGTCTTTAGAACCAAACTAGTAATGGAAAAGAAACCAGTATGGTAGTCCTTGACTAATGACTGGTCACTTAATGACTGTTCAAAGTTACGAGGGACCCGCCCCCCAAAGTACTTATGACTCTGTTCCAATGTTCTGATGGCTAGCCCTCCTGTCCTGCGCACAGTCATATGGCCACTTTTTGGGCACTCAGCAACTTGCCCACAACTGTTTGCATCATCCCATGGTTACGTGACTGCGATTTACAACCTAGCCTTGGTGGCCCAGTGGTTAGAATGCCGTATTGCATGCTAACTCTGCCTATAGCCAGAAGTTTGATCCTGACCGGTTCAACGTTGACTCAGCCTTCCATCCTTCCGAGATTGGTAAAACGAGGACCCAAAGGGTTGGGGGGCAATATGCTGACTCTGCAAACCGCTCAGAGAGTGCTGTAAAGCACTGAGAAGTGGTATATAAGTCTAAGTGCTCTTGCTATTGCTATTTTTCCTGAAAACCAGCATTTTCTTCTGGTTTTTGGCAAAAAGGCCCATAGCAAACAATGAGTTTGCTTAATGATTGTGGTGTTTGTTAAGACCACAAACTCACTTAACTGCAGTGATTCGCTTAATGCCTGCAGCAAAAAAAAGGGTCATAAAATCAGGATGATCATGTGGGTGACCCGCTTTATGACTCTCATGACTTAGGACCGTAATGGGCAGGCTCCATTACGGTCATAAGTCAAGGACTACCGGTGGTTTTCCTTTTTAATTTTCTTGGTCTATTTAGTCCTAGCACAGTCCTGAAATCTGTTTTTTTTTCCCTCATTCAGTTTTCTTTGCTGTGCTTTTATTTTATATTTAGCGCTTCTGTATGTTGAAAAAAGAATACATGGAGTCCTTTGAAGCAATTTTCAAAGAGCAGTATGATACTATACATCGGTTGGAAACGAACAAGTTGAGGAACGTTGCCAAGATGTTTGCTCATCTTTTATACACAGATTCGCTTCCATGGAGTGTATGTAACCAACATTTGTAGCCTTGCACTATCCATTGAGTTTTGTATAGCTTTTTTTTTTTTTTGAACTCCTACAGATGTAAGTGGAATTATTTCCAATACATATTGAGAGTGAAGAATCACATTGACTTTCAAGTCTGGCAAGGGACATGAGTGCTTTGAAAGAGAGGATTTCTTGAATTTAGGAAAAATTGAGATAGTTTGTTTGCTTGGAATCCAGACTTGGCTTAACTGATAATGTGATTTATGTATGTATGTATGTATGTATTTATGTATGTATGTATGTATGACTATATTAACAAATATTTATCACGAGGAATATGCTACCACTCAAGGAAAATCAAAATGCATTAGGAAACAAAGGAAAATGAGTTTATTTTAAAGAGGAAAATAATATTTGGCATTTAGTTATCCCTTCTGTTTGTAGGTCCTTGAATGCATATCTCTCAGTGAAGAAACTACAACATCATCCAGTAGAATTTTTGTTAAAATATTCTTCCAAGAGCTTAGTGAATATATGGGACTTCCTAATCTTAATGCAAGGTTGAAAGATGAGTAAGTAACCAATCATATTGTAAATTACTTTTCTAATACCTTGTTTAGGACTGTTTATAATTTTATCAGATTGTTAAACATTAAAGTTGATAAGTAACACCCAGTTCTCAGAGGGATTTAATATATTTTAATAAAAGGTAAAATCTCCCTTAAAGCCCTAATAACTTACATGGATATATCCATGTTGTTTTCTTTAATAACAAAGTGAAAAGAGTTTGACATTGCCTTCTTGTGGGATTTGGTTTTCAACTTTCAGTTTGTAACACTCTTGAAATTTCTCATGTACTCCCATCCAAGTGTTAAACCTGCTTATTTTTATTGAGACCAGCAAAGGCAATGTTTCCCAACTTTAACAGCTTTAAGATATATATGGACTTCAATTCCCAGGATTCCTTCAGCCAGCATGCTGGCTGGGGGAATTCTGGAAGTTGAAGTCCACACATCTTAATGTTGCTGAAGTTGAGAAACACCAAGTCAAGGTAAAAGTAAAAGATGTCACCTGCTGTGATATATTGTAATGCTGCGGTAGTAAGAGTAACTCTTCCTGTGTAATATAGAATCCAGTAAAAAGATGTGACTTTTGCTTCTCTCCCAGCTCTTTTCCCAGTCATATACCGAAGGGGGAAGGGTTGTCCCCACTTTTCCCCTCATCTCTCATATTCTGTTTCAGGCACCATCTGCCATCTCCATTCATCATCACTACGAATCCTTTTGTTTCTTTATTGGGTGGCGTTGCAATTCTTGCATGGCACCATATGGGGGCAGGTGGCAGCATCACCCAGTAACTTGATTACACCCCCTGTGGCTGCCGATCTGAAACAAAAGTAGGAGAGATGAATGTTGATAAAGATCATTTCTTTGCGTGCTTCAGAGATTTGTTTTTTTATTTGTTTGGGGTTGCAAGGAGCAACGGGTCCATTGAATGCTATTAATATTATTGCGCTTGGCTCATTTTGAAGAAGATAAGACGAACAGTGAGCCCAGAATTACAGTCGTAAGTCATGCCAGTCTGAAAAGCGGGTTGCCATGTGACCACACCCAATTTTACCAACATTTTTCCAGCGGTTGTTAAGCAACCACTGTAGTTATTAAATGAAGCCATTGTATTCAGTGGCCATTTTTGGCCAGAAACTGTAAGTAAATGCCAGTTTCTAGTAAAAAAAAAACAAACAAACTTGTAAATTGTCATTACATGACTGCAGGATGCTGCCCAATAACCATAAATGTGGGCCAGTTGCCAAATGCCCCAAATTCAATTATATGATGGGGTGGGGGGGCATCAGTACTCTGAAACCAGGTTGTAAGTAGTTCTGAGGAGATCTGTTGTAACTTCAAACGGTTATATGTTAAGGACTTTCTGTAAATTATGTTTCTTTAAAGCAAAGGGGCAAAGTAAAACCTAACACAGGGCAAAAGTTTGCCCTTCCTCTCCAAATACAACCTTCATCTCGCCTGCCATCGTGATTTCAATATTGTCCAGATTTCTGGGTTATAAAGTGAATTAGCCCTGACCTAGCAGGACTTTATAGTAGCATCAATTTTAATTAATTGATGAGGTTTACCACTGATCTGGTATTGAATAATGAGCAGCAGATCAACCAGATCAACTCATACCTTCTTCTACCATCAGAAGACCTTATATGGGATGAATCAGTCTAATGTTGTTTAAATGGCATTTTGTATTACGTGTCTAAAATATTTTTACAGAAAAATAACACTAATTTTATTGAGCATAATACCGTTGGGGAAAAAATAAACATTTAATATAGTTTTTTTTCTCAAAGTAGTTGTCAAAAGACTTTAAACACTTGTTTCAGTAAGAAGTAAATTGAAGAACAGTCTAATTCTAGAGCAATTGCTTCTTCGCAAACATATATTTATTACTTTAGATCAGTGGTGGCGAACCTATGGCACGGGTGCCAGAGGCGGCACTCAGAGCCCTCTCTGTGGGCACGCGTGCCATCGCCCCAGTCCTAGGCCTTCAGCTGGGTTTTATAAAACCTTTTCGCTTTAGGCCTCTGCCACTGTGTGCAAAAAAAAAAAAAGGTTCAGTCAATCAGTCAATTTCAACTTCTCGCGGGGAAAAAAGATCTTGCAAAGTTTGAATTGATTGATTGAAATTTTTAGTCCCACCCAGTTTGCCATTACCACCGTAGCCACGCCCACCCAATGGGCCACACCCACCCGGCACCCGACAATGCATAAGTGGGTTTTGGGTTGCAGTTTGGGCACTCAGTCTCTAAAAGGTTTGCCATCACTGCTTTAGATGGATAGCAGCCTTATCACAAAACCTCTCTTGATAAAGCTGATACATTGGTTAATCTAACAACACCAGCCTCTGTAAAGAAAAAGCTTCTTAACTCATTGATCCTGTGCAAGTACTAAAGAATGTTGTTGTTGTTGTTTTTTGCTTTATGCAAAAATATATACCGTATGTCCATTTTACTTTGAAATTAGCAAAATTGATACATGTTGTGGACCATTCTGAGTGAAACAGAGACCGGCCAAAGTAAAACCCAGATTGTTTAGGTTGATTTGGTTCTCTTCTCTGTGACATATACAGAAGGCGACATATACAGACATATGTTCTGTAAATAGCCCAGAGTCACCCTATCGGGGAGATCAGCAACATATAAATTTAATAAATAAATAAATGTACACTCCTACCCATGCCTTTTTCTGTTTCCTCCCCTTAGCCACTGCTGATTTTCAAGCACTGCATTTCCTCTCAAGCTCTCCTCATCCAATCTTTCACATACTTTTCTTCCCTGCTTACACCCACACAATGGACACAATTACAAACACCTCTGCTTCCTAGGGCCATACGTTCCTGTCACAAATTTTCTTACAACTTCATTTAATGATTTTTTAAAAAAATTCTTTGTGTTGTACTCCTTCAGAATGTATGCTCCCAGTAAACTGTGTATTTATTGAAAAAATCACTTTCCCATCCCATCTGCCCGTGAAGGATTTTTAATTTAGTAAGGTACAGATTTCTATAGTAGCAAATCTTGTGTAAATTGAGCTCATTGTTTTAAATATTTCTAAACTGGGATCAAAATATGTTTGTGTGGAGCATTTGATATTCTCAGTCTTAGAAAGGATTGTTATGTTTGTTTTTTAACAGAACCCTGCTACCGTTCTTTGAAGGATTATTACCACGTGATAATCCAAGAAATACTAGATTTGCAATCAATTTCTTCACTTCAATTGGCCTTGGAGGACTGACGTAAGAAATTGTTTTTTAATTTATGTATGTACATATATATATATATATTTAAGAAGTTCCTGTACATTTGTCACATAATATAGATTTTGGATCTGACCCTATGTATACTAGCGAGTGAAAATATATTCAAACTTTGCTTCTGATGTCCCTCAAGATATCTATGGGAGACAAATGCACAAGCAAGGCCTATAATTTGAAACCCAGTACATCTGTGCACAACTCTGTGAGATCAGTATTGCGACAAATCTGACAATCCAACATTTTATGTTGGCCTTCATGTGCTGGTTCTGCTTAAACACTCTTACTAATGCGGGCAACTTTTTCATCATTGGAGGCTGTTTTTGTTTACCTTGTGTTTTTTTCAGAAGTTAAAAGTCCCCAAAGATGAAAATATGGAAAAAAAATCCACACTGCAGATCCTGAGTTGTGTTATCAGTATTAGGTAGAGATGCGTTCTCACCAGACATGAATCTGAGGAGAAGGTATCACCCAAGCCAATTTACATGTTGGCATTGAGTCTACAATCTCAACAAGAAAATTAATTTTGGATGGAGTTGGGTTGCAAGCGATTAGTAAAGTAACTTTTATCAATTCAGTAAGATTTAAAAAAATTTAGAAATACAAGACAGGGTACAACTCAAATACCACTTAAGTTATTTTTATATGTTTTTATATATTTTATGCTTTGTTAAATTTGTTTCAATAGTGATGAACTACGGGAGCACCTGAAAAATGCACCAAAAATAATAATGACGCAGAAGCAGGATGTGGAGTCATCTGATTCCTCTTCAGAATCAGATACATCCGATTCGGAGGAGGATTCCAGCAGCAGTGAGAGCTCAGGATCCTCTAGTGGGAATGAATCCAATTCTGACAGTATAGACAGCAGCGGCTCAGGTAAAGTTCTGTCTTCAGTCCATCAGTTTCCTTTAGTGATGAGCCATTTGTTCAAGCAGGGCTGCCTTTTTTTACTTGAAGGTAATTTTAGATGTCTAAAATCTGCAAACATTGCAGAGTAATAAATCACCTAGCTAAAAATGTGATGGGTTAGGCCAGCGGTTCTCAACCTATGGGTCGCGACCCCATTTGGGGTCGATCGACCATTTCACGGGGGTCGCCAAGCAAGGCTGTCCGCCATTTTTTCCCCTTTTCCGGCGGGTGCCTTACCTCCCTTGAGCTGGGCCAGCTGGTGGTCGGCCTGCTCCGTCTCTGCCGCTTGCCAGCTACGCCTCGGCCGGCGCAGGGGGCGGAANTCACCCTCACCTTAGTTAGAGGATTATGAGTTTTCACATATCAGGTTATTTAATTTCAAAGTATGAAATGCATATGGAAGCAAGAAGTCTTGAAAAAACATTCCTGTTCTTTAAAATGCAAAATCCACAAGGATGGGGAAGAGAAAGTGAAGACTGATATGACAGAGACAACAAGGACACAAGTAACTAATTTTCCCTTTTAACAGACTCTACACATATTTATAGTAAGTCTTCGAGTCAATTCATTTGGATTTATCCCCAACCAAAAATACAAGTGTCCTTGGGTTACAACCACTTGTTCAGCAACTTTTTAAACAATGGTGCTAAACAAGTGGTACTTACAACTGATTCTCTGAGTTCCAGCCATTTTTGTGTCTCCCCAGTGATTATGATTTCCAATATTCCTGTCGGCTTCCCAAGAACAAAGTCAATGGGGAAGCCAGTTGGAAATTTCATTCACGAGATCCTTGCCTAACAACCTGTGAAGTCCCCTGTTAATGACAGCAACTGGGACTGCCATCACTAAGCAATGCAATCATGTGACATTGTGCTTTATGACCACATTGCCGTTTTAATCTGAGGACTATCTTTTAAATATTTTGAAATTGCAACTTTACTATAGCTTTTTAATATAGTTAGCTGGAGAAAATTCTGCTATGATCCATTCTCTTGATTGATTCCCACAATTGCAGATTTATTGCCGTCTGAAATTCACTTCTTTTTCATCATCTTTAAAAACACTCTCTCATACACAAAAAAGTAATAACGTACACCAATAACATACTTGGGAATTATGCAAACGAAATACATTCAACATGCACAGTGAAAACGCCATGGTGGAGCCCCTCAGGCATTGCTAAAATAGAAGAGCTTTATTTTGTTTGCCTTTCTTATTAATTAAAGATATGATGCAGTTCTTTTTGGCATATATATGTGGCTCTGTAGAAAATATTAATAGTTATTTTTAGATTAATGTAATGAAGCGCAGTGCAACACAGCTGATTTTACATTTTATTACATATTATCCTGCTTTGCTAAGATTTATTACCATATATATATAATATGAATTTGTTACTTTACTTGGAGACCATATCAGAGTGTCGGCTTTCTCTGGTAAACCAGATAGAATCACAACTAGATCAGCTAGTTCTACTTTATTGTAAAGCTACATTGATAGAATCTTGCAAGTTTAAAAACACTATTCTCTCCCCATCTCCTTTCTTGCCCAAGAAACTAAGGAAGGTCACTTCTGAGCCTCTTGCCCACTATGCAACTGAAGGCTATGCTGTCTCTTACTGATCATTCTCTAGGCAGCATTTCTTTCCTTCGTCTCCCAAGGTCTTTTATCACATTCTATTGCATGGATCATATCTGCAGTTAATTGTTGGGGCAGCTGATAGCCCAGCATGAGTTTCTGCACTGAAAAGGGCTTTCAAGTAAATTAGCTATATGGATGAGGTCAAAGGCAAAATACAAATAATCCTCAATTTACAATGGCAGTCCCCGTTCCTGTTGTTAACCAAATCCCAGTTTTAAAACTAGGCAACGTCCTGCTAGTTTCCAATGACCAAATGCTGTGAGGAAGCCGGCTGGCAGTTGCAAGTCCCAGGTCAGCAGGCAAGTAAGTGCAGTCAGTGCTTGATGGTAAAAGGAGATGCATGAGGATTGCGGATTAGTGTGTGTGTGTGTGTGTGTGTGTGTGTGTGTGTAGGGTACATGAGAAACATTTGTGTCAGAGAGAAGCGATGGGATACATGAGAGGTGTGGCACTGGTCAGGGAAGGTATGGGGGATGCACAAGAGGTGCAATGCAGGTCAGGGAGGCTATGAGAGGATATGCAAAAGGGCATGGGCTGTGAAGGGTGTGAGGTGTGAGAGAATGCAAGAGGCATGACAGGGACAGTGAAGATGTATGTGAGGGATGGCCAAGGTCAGGCAGTGTGCATAATATGAGCAGTTGTGCAAGCAGCACAGGTCAGGGAGAGTGTGTGTAAGGGAAGACACAGTGCAGGCTGGAGAGAGTGTATGAGGGGGGTTGTAAGTGGCACATATCGGGGAGGGTTGCATAAGCAGGTGCACAAGGGTGCAGGGTTGGAAGGGTGCACAAGGGAAGGTGTGCAAGGGCGCAGCACACGTTAGAAAGTGCAAAGAGGTGTACAAAGAAGTTGTGGCAAGGATTCAGGGAGGGTGTATGAGGTAAGAGTAAGTGGCTGGCACAGCATGAGTGCAGGAGGGAGGTGTACAGGTGTGGGAGACTTAGCCCAGAAACTTGCAACATTCCCTGCCAAATAAAGGTTGCCAAGCACCCAGATCAGGTTCATACAACTGAAGAAGTTCTGGGAGGTCTGAACCTCCAAGAATTGGTTGTAAACACCATTCATTTAATGCTGTTTTAACTTTGAACAGTCACTGAACAAACGGTTGTAGGTCAAGAATGACTGGTATTTTAATTCGCCTGGCATCCTTTGCTTGCCCAAGCTGCTCCCTGCTTCCCCAGCCTCTCTACACTCAGGCAGCACCATGGCCTGCTTCCCTCAATCTCCCTTGGCTCTCATGCCTCTCCTGGCTGTCCTCTACTTACATGGTCGGTCCCATGCTTCTCTGATCTCCCTTCAGTAGTTCGGCATGGCATCCTCTTTCCCCCAGCCCCCCTTCATTCTAGCATGACCTTTCCCAGCTCCTCCACCTCCTGTGCCCCCCCTAGGGCACTCTGCCCACCTTACCTGGGACTCCTGCTATTTCCAGTTAACAAGT